TAACACATCATGATGTCATCAGTCACTTGGACAATTCACCTACACTGGCATCAGTAATATGTACCTGCATATATATTCATTTATGTACTGCACTAGGTATATGTACATGGTTATATATCACGAGTATAGTGTTTTTTTTCTTTTACTTATCTTTCTTTCTTCTATCTCACCCTGTCCTTTTTTGAGCCGCTGTAATCTGCAAATTTCCCCACTGTGGGATCAGTAAAGTTTTATCTTATCTTAAGATCGGACAGATGGTCTAGATTCTACSGAAAGTGTTAATACGTTAACAGACATTTCACAGAAAAGTTCACTTGAAAGGTCTTCGACAGACTTGGAAAGGCGAGGAATTCTAAAAAGTTGGTTTTTGTCATGTCTTATTATAGCTGTAAGTATAATACTGTGTCACCATATCTGTGACTGACTGCAGTAGAGCGCTGTATGAGGCTAGCATGGATGCTAGGAGTGAAGCTAGCAGTAGGCTACAGGAAAAACAAAGTTTACTGTACCTGTTTATCGACAGGTACAGGGATAGGACCCGGGTGGTCCAGTATTTGATTTTTACCTCCAAAATAATGTTTGACGTTGAGTCCTTGGTTGCACTTTTTTGTGGTCAAATTCAGCTTGTCCCATCGCTTGAATCCAGCTGTTAGCCTAGCGTCTTAGCTTGGGAGAAGTGATTAAAACTTCCAAGCTTTTATGCTTCTTTCAGCTACTTTGTGCTAATGCAGCTGTTTTTGGTATTTTTAGCTACTTTTTGGCTAATTTGATTAATTTAATTTATTTCAAGTAAATTCACTTCTGTGATGTTTTCAGCTTCTTGCTGCTTGATTCAGCAAACATGCTTTTTGTGTTTGTACCAATTTCAGCTACTCTTTAAAGCCATTTTTGGACTAGTTTCAGWTTTTTTTAGCTATTTAACAAAAAAAACCTTCCATACTAAGCATTCACACTTTTTAGTTAGATTTGATTTATTGCATCAAACAATATTAGAATTTGAATAACAAGTATATTAAGCTGGAACTACTCATTTTTCACAATAAAGAGCCGTTAGGCTGTTTTTTTTATTTTATTTAGGCACAACTTAAAAATATAAAAAGGATAACATGAAGGTAAATCAGCTTGTTTTTGCACGTCACCGCAGTCAAAGTTTATTATTGTTCATTAAGCTGTCTCCCAAGTGTGTTTTTAAATGGAACATATTTGACTTTACACACACAGACTCACAGATGTGAACACAAACTCTGAGGGACACCCGCTGTGTTCAAAGTGAGCTTCAGTTCCTTAATGTACAAAACAAACAGATCAGCGCTCGTCGTTTACCTGAGGACACCTCAGACCCGTTTACTCTCAGCTGTGGGTTTACCTGCGAGCACACCTGCTACACTCACAGGTAATTTCTAATGTGACTGAGACCACGAGCTGGTCATAAAAACACTTTCCCCATGAGACCTGATGGGTTTAGTCGTATCAGCAGTTTGTGTGTGTGTGTGTGTGTGTGTGTGTGTGAGGTCATCCGTTTAACGAGCGGTTTCCACCGAGCGGATGTATTTTTACATACGTGGCCTCTGTTAAACAAACACGCTCTCTGACACTGAGGTTAGCCATCCCTGCTAATGGCTAACAGGCTGACKGAGATGATGAAGTGTTGAAATAATTTACATGATGGCTGTTTAGTCTGCTGCGAGTGTTTATGTTGCACACGCAGATAAAAAAAAACTTTGTGTGTGTGTGGCGGCCATGTTGGATTTTGAGTATGACTTGGAATTCATAAATTTTGATTTCTGAGTACAAATGCAAAGCCTTGATCAAAGAGGTGTTGAAAACTGTGTTTCTCAGACTTCGCTTGCTCTATTTTTTTAAAGAGTTGAGTTAAAAATGCCAACTAAGCAACGTTTTTTGTCACAAAGTGTACCTGGTACTGGGAAATAACAGGATTTGCTAATTGTGCTCAGCTWAAAAAGATAAAACATTTATTGCATTGAAGCAACATGTTCTCTAACATGTATTGTAACATGAAATAAACTGACACATTTTATGGGAGACGGCCATGTTGGATTTTATGATGATTTGTTTGGCTTAAAATCAGGGGCGRAGC